AAATAAGTATTTTCACATGTGTTATGGCCATTTCTAATCCCAGTATCATAGCCAGGTCCAGCTGCATGTTTCTGATCTCTGGTCCTACCCATAACCTCCCCAGAGAATCCTTCCCTGGCTACCCTATCTAAGCAGGATGCTCCATACCCACCAATCATTACTGCATCAAGTTCATTTCCCCTGAGCATGTGTTACAATTTGTATTTATATATTTTTTCTTTACTTGTTACTGTCTTCTCCACTAGACCGTGAGTTCCACCAGGGCAATGGATAGTTGTCTAGGACCTAGAAGACCCTTAATAAAGATTTCTTGAGTGAATAAATGGTGAACAACAGGGGTGGCACAAAGAACAAATAAAATAGAGGGTAGAAGAGTATTAATTCCCTTCACCACCGTATTTGTGGGTGGTGGACCTTATATGGCCTCCCTTTTGTAGTCAAAACAATTTTCAGATCTGGCTCCCTTGCAGCGTATTCAAGGATGCTAGCCTTGTTTGAGGCTGTAAATATCTCTAATGAGGAGGGCTCAAATCTGTGTGTGTTTGCCTTCTTTTGCACAGCATGCGGCACGGCCCCAAGCACAGATGAACACTTTATAAATATTATTGAAGGATGATGACTTGGAGGATTATTTAATACCTCTGCATGGGGTGGAGACACGCTTCGGGCCACAAACTTACTTTGAATGTGCTTTACTTCTCAAAGCATTTGAACCAAAATGATTTCAGCAACACAGACTCATCTGTAACCAAAAATCAGACACATTCAGAATGATAAAGCCCGAAAAGAATACCATTTCCAAGGCTGAAACTATATTCTTCTGGGGTAAATGGAATCCTTGTCTTAGTGACACTGTAAGAGTAGAAATTCAAAACACTGAAAGTCCTCCCTCAGGGAACAACAATTATCTGTGAATAATGAAAGTTTGTCTGAATAATTCATCAGTTTCAAGGGTGCAGGCCCCCCTTATTCTAGAATCCCAGGAGTTTAGTCAAGTGCACAATTTAATGTGTCTCAACTGCTCAGCTGTCATTCTCCCAGGGCCTGGCATTGATGGGCACATTCCTATGATTTTATTAATTAAAAAAAAAAAAAAAACCTGTATGGGAAACCACTGTCAAGATAAATTTTGAAGCTGCATTTATTTTATCTAAGAAGAGGGAAGCTTACAAAGTGTCCGTCATGAGACTCCACCTGGGAGCTATACAACAGATCAAGTGCCCAAAACAAATCACATCAGAGCCCCACAGAATTCTGAATCCCCACCAGCAAGCATGAATAATCCTTTTAAATGGTCACTTACATATCAGAACAGCTCCTTTGTGAAATTTCTAAGCAAGGCCTCCGGTTTCTAACTGAAAAAGAGATTTATTGGGAAGGGAGCATCAAGTGCAATCAAGAACTACTGGGAAATTTCCACAAGAAAAGAGGACAAATGGTTTTTGTTGTCAGAACGAAACCAGCCTCTCCTGGCCAGGGTTTGGAAAGTTGCTGGCTACCCCACAGGAGAGTTGGGCAATATTTTCAACTGGTTTCTCAGGGGCCATCCTGATCAAGTTGCAGTTACTGGGCAGATGCAACAGTAAATTAAATCAGAAGACCTAGTTTCACTTTCTTATTAGCTGTGCAACCTTGTATAAGTCACTTAACCTCTCTGATAATTGGTTCAACAATTTTAATATGTTGAGAAAAAGGCCTACCCAATTACCTCACTAAATTATTGCAAAGATCAAATGAGATCAAATGTATGAAAGTTCTTTCTAAATCATAAGACTCTGTATAAGTGAAAGGTGCTATTATTAAATACACTTCCACAATATTAAATAACCTCCATAGCACTCAGGATCCTATATGACTCTGAGCTCTCAATTTCTAGAGATGGTCCCATTTTTGTCTTGTTCTCTACAGTTTTACTGATTTTTTTTTTTTTAAAGAAAGGCTACAGGCAAAGGCAAATGGAAAAAATGTGGGCTCATACATGTTTGTATGTATGTAGCTACTCTTTGGTGCTGCTAGGCAAGAATTTTAAACTGAGGTTAGTTCATCATCACGGACTTGATCTCAATATTACCTGAGGGAGACAAGTAAAGGGGGGGCATTCAAAAGATACGTGATTATTCTCCCCTCCGGTGGAAAAATACAAGGTCAACTTACAAAAATCAGTTATATTTTTAATTACTAGCAGCAAACAACTGGAAAATTAAATTTATAAAACTATTTCATTTACAACAGCATCAAAATATATAAAATACTCAGGAATAAATTTAACAAAAATTGTGTAAGACCTCTACACTAAATTACAAAACATAGGTAAGAGAAATTAAAATACGAAGTAGGTAAGAGAAATTTAAAAAAACTAAATAAATTGAGATATATACCACATTCATGGACTGGAAATCTCAAGAGACAAAGATAGACAAATAGATCAATGGAACAGAACAGAGAATCTTTGCAATAGACCCACATATACAGGGTCAACTGATTTTTAACAAATGCCCTAAGGGAAGAGGAAATTCTTTTCAATAAATTGGGTTAGAACAACTGGATATGGGGAAAAAGTGAACTTTGACCCCTGCCTTACACCACACACAAAAATTAATTCAAAATGATCATAGACTTATATGTAAAAATTAAAACTACAACAATTCTAGAAGAAAACAAGGGAAAAACATCTTTCCGACCTTGGGGTAAGCAAAGATTTCTTATAGAGGACAAAAAAGTATATACTAACACAAGAAAAATATAATAAATTGGACTTCATCAAAATTTAAAACTTATGCTCATCAAAAGACACCATGAGAATATGAAAAGACAGGCAATAGGCAGGGAGAAAATATTTGTAATACATATATCTGACAAAAGACTTATTACCCAGAATATATAAAGAACTTCTATAAGACAATAACAAAAAGACAAACAACCGAATCTTTTAGTTGAGCAAATACATTTGGAAGAGGTACATAACAAAAAAGTTACACAAACAGACAATAAGCATATGAAAATGAGCTCAACATCATTAGTTATTAGGATGATGCAAATCTAAGCCAAAATGAAATAATATTTTGCACTCACTAGACTGGCTAAAATAAAAGACTGACAACACCAAATGCTGATGAGGATACGAAGCAACTAGAACTCTCATACATTGCAAATAAGAGTGTAAAATGGAAAATAGTTTGGCAGTTTTTTGTAAAATTAAACATACATCTACCCTACAATCAGCATTCTATTCCTATATATTTACCCAGGAGAAATAAAGATGGGTCCAGAAAAGATTTGTATAAGAATGCTCTTAGCAGCATGACTCGTAATAGCTAACAACTGAAAACAACCCAACCCAAACGTCCATCAACAGGAAACTGGACAATAAATTGTGATATATTCATACTTGGTATACTACATAGCAACAAAAAGAAATGAAATACCGACAGATGCAATGGATGTGGATGAACTAAAAAATATGTATTAAGTAAAAAACACTAACCAACGAGTACTTAGTACATGATTCTGTTTATGTGAAGTCCAAGAACAGGTAAAACCTAAATATGGCAATAGAAATTATGACAATGGTTGCCTATGGGGAATTGGAAAGAGGCAAAAGGGAACTTTTTCGGGTGATGAGAATGTTCTATATCTTAATCTGGGTGGTTGTTACACAGATGTATACATTTTTCAAAACTCACTGAGTTGTACCCTAAAGATTACTCATTTCACTGTGTATAGATTTTACCTCATGAATGATCGAATGAATGAATAACACCATAAGGAAATAACCACACAAATCCAGAATTTGGGATTCTGCAGGACAACTGGTCAGGTCTCTTCAAAACTTATTGTCATTAAGTGAAAGAGAAAAGGATTGTGTTATATTATAAAAGACTTAAGAGATATAACAGCTAGATGCAACATGTGGTCTTGGATGGAATGCTGCTTTGGGCAAACCATCCATTAAAGATATTTTGGGGACACTTGGGGGAAATTTGAATATAATCTTAGTTTTAGATGACATAAAAAGGTATTAATACAAAGTTGGAGATTGTTGATGGAAAAGAAAAAGCAAGTTACAAAGCAATATGTACTTTCAGATTTCTTTTTGGTATTACAAAAAGGCAAATATATATTATGAATATTACATATATTATATTATGTATATTACATATGATTTATAATTATACATGTTCATATGTATAGAAAGAGATCCAAAAGGGAATATACATTTATCCATTAACATAGGTAACTCAGGGAGAGGGATATGGTGTTTATATTTTCTTATTTTTGTGTTTTCTAACCTTCCACCATGCACAAGTATTGCTTCCATAATAACACATGTTGCTTGAAAATATTAGACTCTGAAATTCACTGTTTTATAAGACAAGGTAAAAGATGGTAAGGATGATAGGGCAAGGAGAAAGAAAGCAAACACTGTTTGATCTACTAAGTGAACCTCCTCTTGGGCACTGTGCATGCATATCTCATTTCATCCTCACAACAAACCTATAATATATCATCCTTATTTTACAGAGCTAATGAGGATACAAGCTGGCATTTAAACATAATATTATCTGACCTCAAAACCCATGTCCTTTCCACCTCACTTACATATTTAGTAAGTTTGATTATTAAACATTTATGAAGTATTTACTTTGCACCAGGCACTCCATTAAATATTTTACATGAATCATTTCATTCCTACCTCCTAACAATCCATGTGATGATGATACTATTATTCTCCTCATTTCATTTTAAAGATAAGAAACTAAGCACAAAGATCAAATAAGTCTCCCAAGTTCCCACAGCTAAGAAATGGCAGAACCAAGAATCAAGTTCAGGCCACTTGATTATTCATGCTCCTACCCAGGATGCTACGCCATGTCTCTAAGTTCCCATGCTTTCAACAAGTTCCCAATGGAGCAGGAAAGAATGAGTGACAGCTACCAGCAAAGAGGACACGGACACCAGAGGCCCACCATGAAGTTTTTCATGGTAACATCCTTGCTTACCTGTCCAGGGCCGTGCTGGTGGGCATACTCCTCCCAAACCCTCGGACCCCCATCTGACGGAAATACGGAATGCAAGAGAGGTTGGCGGCAATGATGGCCAGGGAGTCGGACGGGCTCACAAAGAAGCCGTTTTGGCCTAGGATCATATAACGGTCCTGTGGGAAAGAATGTGTGAAAATGATCAGACAGAGGCATCTGCTGCCAGCAGCCCATTTCCATAACCATCACAAGCCACTTGACCACCATCCTGGGTTTAAACAACCTAAAACAACTTGAAGGAGGCCAAAGAAGGCATGGGAAACCTTTTAAATCCCTGAATATTGTAAATCTCAGGATCCAGATGCAACCAGGAATGCGTCCTACTTGTTGAAATGTGGATGACTACCTCAGGTTACGGTGGCCTCCGTGTTCTCAATTCACACTTTCCCTCCAACATAATAGAGAACAGGAGTTATTGCTGAAATGGCTGGTTCCTTAACATGGTGCTTTCAACAAAACCAGCTATAAATAAAGATTTATTGCACCAATACTTTTTTAAAAGAAATAACCTCTTTATAACATAATGCTTACCTGGAAATAAGAAAAGTCACGGCTATTTAATTGCAATACTTAGCCATTAAACAGAAGAGCAGACGCAGAGCCAGTTAGGGTTCGTATGCCCCATACACGTCAGCCCCAGATGTGTTCATTAATTCTCTGGTTTCCAACGTTTGGCTCATTATGTGGTAAAAAGGTCAGCAGGTGGCAAACTTTCCTACTTACCCCGTCAGCATCAAATGCAGCTCCAAACCCATATTCCCCTCCTTTCATAGCTTCCAAAAGGGTTGTTGCATATGTCAGGTTTGGGTCAGGATGCTGTCCTCCAAAATCTTCCAGGGGAACACAGTTTATTGCAGAATTGGCTGGGGCCCCCAGCTCATCACACAGGACTTTTCTCACATAGGGTCCCATAACTAAAAAAAGATACACACTAATGTGAAATCTTTGCAGAACTCCCCAAGGGTGTTTTTTCTGGTTATAACAAAAAAGACCATTTAATAGCACAGAAAAAAAAAAAAAAGATAAATTCTACAAGCTTTTTCAAGACACAACACAGAGTAATATTTACTTCAAGTACTATTCCTTGGGCATCTACACGTGTCAGTTACGGGGCCAGTCACGGTATTAGGCATAGGAAGATGTATTCAATAATTCAGTTATATGAAATTTTTCTCTAAAACTTTTCTAAAATGTTGCCAGAAAGAAATCAACTACCTAATAAAGACTCATTGTATTAAAAGCTTTAGCTAAATATATGCAAAAGCACTAAAAGGCTCTAGCAATGTTCTTTGTCTCTGCAATCGTTTTAACTCTGCCAAGTGTATAATTAAACACTGTAAACCACTGAAGCATATAAAACTAAGCACGCTTTACAAAATAAATGCTAGGGAATAGTGGTTTCCAGTTCAACACACATTTATGGAGGGCCTAACATGAAACTCCAACGTTAGGAATGGAGGGGATCATATTCAAGGGCCTAAAATACACAGTCCTGCATTACTGGGCTCTTCATCTAGGAGTGGGGTGAGCCAACCACAGGTGAGTGACTGCAAGGGTGAGACAAGTGCCATTCAATGTATATTTATGAAATTAGATCCAGTGGCTTAAGAGAAGGAATGACCACAGGTAAGGCTTCAGGAAAAAGGCAGCATTTCTAGGGGGACTTGAATAAAGAATATAAATTTGACAAGTGTGCAGAGTGGGGATGCCATCCAAAAAGAAAGAACACTATAAGTGAGGGAATGGAACCTGAGGTAAAACACGTAGCACATTGGGGGGCGGGTAGGTAATCTTGTTGGCTTAAATATGTGTAAATTATTGCCTTCTGAAATTGAAAAGACTGACAATACCAAGTGCTGGTGAGGACAGAGAGAAACTGGAGCTCTCATACTTTGCTGGTGGTGCAAATGGTACAGACATGTTGGAAAACAGTTTGGCAATTTCTTATAAAGTTAAACATACACTTATCATATGATCCAGCGATCTCACTCCTAGATATTTGTCCAAGACAAATGAAATCATATAGCCCCATAAAGACTTGTTCACAAATGTTTATCGCAGCTTTGTTTGTAGTAGCCAAAACCTAGAAATAACCCTGATTATATCAACTGGTGAAAGGATAAACAAACTGTGGTCATCCACACAATGAAATACTACTCAGCAATAACAAGGAATAACCACTGCCATATACGGCAACATGAATGCATCTATGAAACATTACGCTTAGTTAAAGAAGTCTGAAGCAAACAGCTGCTTGTATTTATATGGATTCCTGGAAAAGGCAAAACTATGGGGGCAGAAAGCAGATGAGTGATTGCCAGAGGCTAGGGGTAGGAGGAAGGTTTGACTACAGAGAGCCACAAGGGAACTGAGGGAAATATTCTATGTCTTGAGTGTCATAGTGGTTACATAACTATGTATGTTTGTCAAATTTCGTCAAATTGTATACCTACGAGGTGTCAATCTTACTGTATATCAACTATACCTCAGTAAACCTGACATTAAAAAAAGATGTGGGGCCGGCCCCGTGGCTTAGCGTGGCTTAAGTGCACGCGCTCCGCTACTGGCGGCCCGGGTTTGGATCCCGGGCGCACACCGACGCACCGCTTCTCCGGCCATGCTGAGGCCACGTCCCACATACAGCAACTAGAAGGATGTGCAACTATGACATACAACTATCTACTGGGGCTTTAGGGGAAAAAAAGGAGGAGGATTGGCAATAGATGTTAGCTCAGAGCCAGTCTTCCTCAGCAAAAAGAGGAGGATTAGCGTGGATGTTAGCTCAGGGCTGATCTTCCTCACAAAAAAAAAATTAAAAAATTAACAAAAAAGTAAAAAAAGATGTGGCATTCACGAAACATGAATAGGAAAACTATTTTTAAAAAGAGATTATTTGGAAAACAAAAAAAATTGGGGGAAGTTAAAAATATGATAGTGGAACTGAAAAACTTAACATTAGAACTTGGAGATAAAATTGAGGAAATCTCCCAGAAAGTAGCACAAAACAAAGAGAAGAGAAATGGGTGGTGGGGAGAGAATAGGATAATTAAAAGATCAATCCAGTAGGGCCAATATCTAAACAATAGCCATTCTGGAAAGAAAGGAAAGAGAAAATAATGGAAGAAATCATCCAACAAGTAATTCAAGAAAATTTCCCAGAATTAAAGGACAGAAGTTTCCAGATTAAAAGGATCCTCCAAGTGTCCAGCACAATAGAGGAAAATAGTTCCACACTAGGATTCATCATTACAAAAGGTAGGGACACTGAAGATAAGTCGAAGGCCCTAAAAGCATCCAGTGTAAAGAAAGAAAGATTTCATACAATGGATTAAAAATCCGAATAGCATCAGATTTCTCAAGTTCAATACGAATGGCTATAAAACAATGGATCAATGTCCTCAAACTTCTGAAGGAAAATAACATCCAACCTAGATTTCTATATCCAGACAAATATCAATTAAGAGTGAGCACAAAAAAAAGACATTTTCAGATATGCGATGACTTAAAACATTTATGTCCTGTGAGCTTTCTGTCACAGAGTTCCTGGAGAAGGAGTTCTCCAAAATGTAGGAGTAAACCAAAAAAAATGTAGGACAAAGGCTCCAGAAACAGGAGAGTCAACATAAGAGAGGGATAAAGGGAATTACTAGAATGATGATAAGAGAACGTTGCAGGATGATAGCAGGCTCAGAGAGCAACCAGTGCAGAGCAGAGCAGATCAGAGGTCTCCAGGAAAATGGAGAGAAGATTTAAACTGGGAGAATATGGGGGTCAATAGCGGCAAATACACTTAACAAACACTAAGCAATGAGAAAATAAGACAATTACTAATTCCAAGGAAAGAAAAAAGTACTGTAAAGAAAATGTAATTATAGTGTTTTGCATGGCTCAGGAGTGTATGATAATGTAGACACTGGATACTGGTCTTACCAAAATGATGACATAATTAGTTTAAGGAAGTGTGCTTGGATTTAGTGAGCGGATAGGGTGAAAAAGAGCTACAACATCATTTTCTATAGTATGAAGTCAATAAAGCCCAAAACTGAAAAATCAACAAGGAGCAGTATATTCATGGTATTTAGTAATAGGGAGATAAATACTTAAAAAAAAAAGCTAAAAGAGTTTTTAAAAAAGAAGGTTGCCTCTGGAAAGTAGATAATCAGGGGAAGGAGTTGGGGATGAATTTTTTCATAATAAATTTTGAACTAGTTGAGTGTTTAAACTATGTGCATGTACTGTGATCAAAATATTTTTTTAATGACTACAGTTTTTACATATCCACTCCATACTCCAACAGGCATAGTCTCAAACTCATTTGTTCAACCTTTGTTTTCATTTGCATCAAAAGAGAAATTAGAGCCCTGAAGTTTTCCTGAGCATTCTAAATATCTCAACATATACATGTTGTGTCAATATCTATGAATCCAACCTTCCTGGTAATCCCAGAAACTCAAAATGTATAGAGGTCTCCTGGACATTTCTTGCCCATCAATGGTAGAAGACCGTGACCTTACCTCCATGCATCGCATCAACTCGGATCTTAAGTTGGCCCGGCCCGGTCAGCAAACTCTTAATGGCGTTAAAGTCAAAGATGGTCCGAAGGAGGTTGAGATAGATATCCACTGGGTCCACTATCTCCACTAACAATGGGAAACAAAGGGAAACATCAATGACCATATCCACGAAAGATACTTGGAAGCATAAAAAAAGAATCACTACTCTAATAGCATGAAATTCTGATCACAGTCCCATCAAAATCCCACATACTATGTGGGAAGTGAAGTGTCCATTTGTAGACAAAATCACAAATTAAGGCACAATCAAGATGTTACAACTTTTTCAGGTGATTAACGGATATAAATAATATCAAGTTATAAATTCTTCTTTGCAGGTGAAAAATCAACCACAAGAATAAAGTAGTGAAGACAAAACTGTGTCCTGTTATCCTTACTCCCACCTTCTCTCCTCCACCTCCCTCCCCCAAAATGCACACACCTCAATGCTAAGAGACATCTTGGCACACTCAGTTGCCTCTCCCGTGGAGGTTGGCCAAAGAATGACTCAGCTGGTGTGAAACAAATCAAGGAATGACCTCAGCACTGACCCCTATTTTCCAAATGCCATTGTGCCAACTAGATCTGGGTTCAGAAATGGTCATGAAGGATATATTCCTGAGTTTGCATGAAGTCTCTTGCATGCCCAATCTAGTACCAGTTTCATGTTCTCCATGTTCTCCAGTGTCCAGCACCACCCAATGACCAGGAATCCAAAACAAGTCTTTTCCATTTATTTGACTGATACATAAAACCCAGAATACATTACATTTTTCAAACTTGGCAATTAGTACATAATTAATACTCAGAAAGTACTTTTCCTAGAAGTAGTAAATATTTGACTCTTTAGGCCTTGGTTTTTAAATTCATAGTTAAATTTTGAAAATCGTATATACTGTTTTTCAAATTTTTCAAACACATATTACTTTGGAATCCTGAAATGCTTAAACTCCACCAAAGATATTACCAAACCACTTTTAATAATTTTCAGTAAATCCAGGTGCAATATGAATGAGATTTTAATATGTAATATGAAACTATCCCTTCATCTGGTCAAAGACACATCTAAAAGTATTTTTCCTTGCACTTAAATCAATGCAGTATGCATGTCCATTCAAATATAATATAATTGCTTTTTACGGAACACAGATAGTTCTTAATCATCTTTTGACATGAGGAGGATATTAATCTATAAAATAAAGTAATTAAAATTAATCTATATGAACTGTTCACCTAAGAAGGGTTAAAATGGTAAACTTTATGTTATGTATATTTTACCACAATAAAAAAATTAATCTAGAAAATAAAAGGTTATGTCCTGAATACGTTAGAAGTTAGAAGTTTATACTCTGCAGTATAGGATAATATTTTTGGCAATTTCATTCTGGTTCTTTCATTCTTGAACCACTTGTCTAAACACATTTGGTATTTATAGCAGATAACACATAGTATCAAACAGAAATGTGAAAAACAAGGAAGCAAGTAGAATTCAGTGAAATTTGAAAGTTCACCTCCCATAGTTCATCCTCTTGATCCTTTAAGTGAAATGCCAAGGATTGACTTGTTTCCAATTAACTCAAGCCTTGCTCGACACTTTAAACAGCAAGAGAACAGCACATAAATTATCCCAAAAAGCTATCTCCAAATTCCTCTTGGGAGCCAGGGAATCTTTCTAACCACCTCCTGGAATCTGTAGTATTTTAGAAAACTCATCAAACCAGCAATGTGGCTGCAGCAATGGGCCTGAATCTCAGCTCACCAAAAATCTAGGTCTCTTGGACAACTAATAAAATGGTGAAGATATCAAAAATAAATAAATAAATATAACTTCTTCCTGATGGTGAAGCCTGATTTTTCTCAGTCATCTTATTGTCCAGTCCTTCCAAACATATGTAATCAAGCACATTTAAATCATTTTGTTTATATCAGGGAAATGCAAATCAAAACTACAATGAGATATCACCTCACGCCCGTCAGAATGGCTATAATTAACACGACAGGAAACAACATGTGTTGGAGAGGTTGTGGAGAGAAGGGAACTCTCATACACTGCTGGTGGGAGTGCAAACTGGTGCAGCCACTATGGAAAACAGTATGGAGATTCCTCAAAAAATCAACGATAGAACTACCATATGATCCAGCTATTCCACTGTTGGGTATTTATCCAAAGAACTTGAAAACACCAATTTGCAAAGGTACATGCAACCCTGTGTTCATTGCAGCCTTATTCACGATAGCCAAGACTTGGAAGCAACCTAAGTGCCCATCAAGGGATGAATGGATAAAGAAGCTGTGGTATATATACACAATGGAATACTACTCAGCCATAAGAAACGACGAAATCCAGCCATTTGTGACAACATGGATGGACATTGAGGGTATAATGCAAAGTGAAATAAGTCAGAGGGAGAAGGTCAAATACCGTATGATTTCCTTCATTAAGTAGTAGATAATAACAACAATAAACAAACACATAGGGACAGAGATTGGATTGGTGGTTACCAGAGGGGAAGGGGGGAGGGAGGAGGGTGAAAGGGATAATTCGGTACATGTGTGTGGTGATGGGTTGTAATTAGTATTTTGGTGGTGAACATGATGTAGTCCATGCAGAAATAGAAGTACAATGATGTACACCTGAAATTTTTACAATGTTATAAACCAATGTTACTGCAATAAACAAAAAATTAAAAAAATAAATAAATAAATAAATAAATAAATAAATAAATAAATCATTTTGTTTAATATAATATATCCCTTGCTTTTAGTTGTCGGGCCATTATGTAGGCCTGTGTGTGTGTGTGTGCGTGTGTGTGTGTGTGTGTATGTGTGCACGCTCCCAACTAGATTAATAAAAGCAGGCACCATTTCTTCCAGTAAATATCACATGGCTTTCAATTAATTTCTGCTGACAAGCTAAGCAAACAGTTGACTCAAAATCTTTCAAGAAAAATGTGGTAGAGTTGGCCCACTCCGTGACTCCTGAAAAGCGCATTTCAAGCTCTTCTCTGACCCTAAAATACCGCATAGCCATGAGCCAGGTATTTCATGTTTTTAGCTAAGTTAAATTACTTGTAAAATAAGGATACCAGCTTAATACAAACTGTATTTAGTTTAAGCTTATAGGGGCACTAAAGGAGTAAAAAAAGGTTAGTTTTATTGCTACTTGCATGCCTTTTAAGAAAAAGCAATATGATAAAATAGAGGGAAAAAATGACATGCATATACATGGTATTAACGTTATACGGTTCAATATTAACTTATAGCATGAAAGGTTATAAGTACTTTAGATATCTTATTCACTCTATAATATAGGATAATATTTTGGGGAATTTTATTATTTTAATTCTTTTTCTTTTTTTTCTTTTTGGTGAGGAAGATTGGCCCTGAGCTAAGGTCTCTTGCCAATCTTTCCCCTTTTTGCTGAGGAAGATTGGCCCTGAGCTCACATTTGTGCCCATCCTCCTCTATTTTATATGTAGGACTCCGCCACAACATGGCTTGATGAGCAGTGCGTAGATTTGCACCCAAGATCCGAACCTGAGAACCCCAGGCCACCAAAGCAGAGCGCGGACTTAACAACTACGCCACTGGGCTGGCCCCTGGTTCTTTCATTCTTGAACCACTTGCCTAAATCCATTTGGTATTTACTGAATTCCTTTGTAAAATCTCTTAACAGACTCCTTGGCACAGAGCAGATGATCAATAATTGTATATTGAATCAGGCTGAACTGCATGGTTCTGGCTTGGAAAAGAAACGCCTACCTTCCCTGGGAAATTTCAATAACCCACTACCCTGTTGAGCCTCTTTTTAATTATCTAAGGTATTCTAGCATCTTCACCTTAATTGCTTAGAAAAACAAAGACATATTTTGGCCATTCACAGCCCGTTCTTGGAACGCTGTCGAAGAGTCAGCCATGAAACTTGCCCTATGTTGAAAATGATAGAGCGTGCGGAAAGCGGTTTTTGAAAGTTGCCAGTTCTGAATATCTTGGCTGCTCTCATTTCCCTCTGCTCCTCAGCCAGATTACATCTATTTATCAAGTGTCACTCCTGAGATTGATAATTCAATCGCTTTCAAGTGTGTCCTCCCCTGCAGACACCAGAGTCACCACCATCCACGGAGTTATTCTGACTTCTTCAAAATATAATCTATTACCTCTAAACGGTTTGAATTTGTTCTCCAGGTCAAATTCTTGTCTTCCTAGTCGAGAGAGGTCGATTCGAAGGTCAGGGCATATGGCATATTCCTCGATTGTTTTGCTGATCTGATAGATTTTGTCTGAGACGACATCTGGCGCAGGACCTAAAATTTGAAAATAATGCACCACCAAAAATAAATTTTTTTAAAAGTGTCCAGAATTTCAATCAGAGAAATGTTACCTCCTCCTCCACCAAGCAGGAGAAAGATCCATTTGTTCTCCAAACAATGGACAACATTCACAGTTCAGTTAGCCTTGATATTTCTCAAGTTGTATTCATCCACTATGGAGGAAACTTGGTCAGCCTCACCTGTTCTTTGTAAGCTAATAACCTACATGTTTGTTTGTTTTAATCCACTTCTAAGCAATGATACGTCTTTCCTAAAAATAGTTTCACATCTGCCAGGGAGACCCGCTTATGTAATCAGCTTTATTCAGGATATGAGACACAAACAGGATATGCATTTGACAGAAGTGAGGGATTCCAGATTTAAACTGTAGCTTCCCAAGTGCACCTAGAGAAAGAAAATATGATTCCTACTCCCAGGTCTGTGCCTAGATGATGCATGAGCTTACCAGGGTAAATTATTTTCCCCAACTCACACTCTCTAGTGACTCCCAAGTTTTTAAGATGAGCTTTAGCTAAAAATCTCAGATACATTTCCTTACAAGGTCAAGTTTGTTAACAACTAAGCTGTGATAGATTTTAAATGAATTGACCATGAAATCAACAGTTGTCCTCTTTTGATTTTTCTTTTATTTTTAATTTTTACATCTTAATGCAAGCCACTTTAGATTTCTTGCAACAAGTTTGGGAATCAAATAAGTAGATTGAAAGATCTAAAATATAAATGATAGATACATAGATAAATAGATAGCTGTAAGTATTAATCTCACCTACCAACTATATTATAACTTTCTACTGAACAGAAAATATTTCTTGATTTCTTTTCTATCCCAATCCTTAGAGCTGCACTGTTGAGTACAATGTGGCTACTGAGCACTTGAAATATGGCTAGTCAAATTGAGATGTGCTGTCGTCGTAAAATATGCACCAAATTTCGATGAGTTCATAGAAAAATATAGATTGCATTAATAATTTATATAGCAAAATGTTGAAATCATAATATTTTGTATACGTTAGGCTAAATAAAATATATTATTCATTTCACCTCTTTGTTTTTATTTTTTTATGTGGCTACTAGAGAATTTTAAATTACATATGTGACTCACAATATATTTCTATTGGACAGTGCTGCCCTCAAGCATAGCACTGTTACTGCCCCCCAATAAATGCTCATTGATCATATAAGTAAGAATAGTGCTCAAACTCATCAAATTGCATACACTAAATATGTGCAGGTTTTTTGTATATCAATTATACCTCAAAAAAGCTGTTAAAAAAAATCAGGAATAGGGGCCGGGCCCGTGGCCTAGTGGTTAGGTAGGTCCCAGGCACGGACCTACACCACTTGTTGGCGGCCAGGCTGTGGCGGCGACCCATATACAAAATAGAGGAAGATTGGCACAGATGTTAGCTCAGGGCCAATCTTCCTCAAGCAAAAAGAGGAAGATTGGCAATAGATATTAGCTCAAGGCGAATCTTCCTCAGCTAAAAAAAAAAAAAATCAGAAATAGCAATAGCCCCATTCCAGCAGGTGGGAAAGAAAAGGGTCTAGTAGATTATACTCACATTTTCTTGTCATATAGGAAAAGTGAAGACCACAAAGAGATAAACACAGCCCTTCTAACTTCACTTCTCACCATTTTTTACCCTTTTGCAAAACTTAAAAAGTAAACAGTCTTGTTTGGTTTTTTGCATTTTTTATGCTTGCTAAATTAAAGAATGCATGAATATTCCTCTGGCCCCTAGCTGCCACGCTATGTTCTTTGGCTGTGTCCATCCCTTTTGAAAAGAAGTCTCTCTCTGAGTTTTAATGCCAAAGCATACTGGTTTCCAAAAGTACAACAGGTTCTGGCATGCTAGATAACTTTCCATGATGCCACCCAACCACCCATGTTGATAACCTCAGAGTTCGTCACCAACCTCAGCATTCCCTGACAACTTCGAAGTTCCTTGACATCTTCCATTCCAAAGACTTTCCTCTTCATTTTAGTCAATGCCTGGTACAGTCACACCTTATGTCTTATTGTCTTTCGAAATGCTTCTTTCAAAAATATCAAAATTGAGTGTCCTCAGCCCACTAGTCTTCCATCTACCCTGCTTATCTTCCATCTACCCTACTCTGCACCTCTGCTGACCCTGCTCCTCATTCCCATGCTGACGCCCATCATTGCTTGATTAATCCCAGGCCCTCAGGCCATTCTGGTTTCATTGGTTTCTTGTCCCAGGCAAGACCCATTTGAGCTATGCCTTTGTTAGCATAACAACACAAGCCAACATTTATTGAAACTTACATTTACCACACTTCATACTTTATATGGAATTTACCACTCACAAAAAGCAAAAGAAGTAAGAATTATTATTATCCTCATTTTCCAAATGGGGAAACCGAAATTGCAAGAAGTGACCTTAACCAAGGTCACAGACTTGGTAATTGACAGAGGCTGGATTTGAATTCTAATACTCTGATGTCAGCTCAGACACTCTTAACAGCTACCAGCCCTCTTGATGCTCTGCAATGCCCACACTGCCATGCCCCAACCCCGGGACATCGCCACCATCTGCTCCCATTGCTACCATTCCCAGACTCCCATGCATTGCTGAAGGTACTCATGAAATTACACAAACTGGCTCCCCCCAAGAATGAGGCTGCTTAACTTCACCTGATCTTCACAACCCCTCAGGAATCCTCAACAAATTTCCCATAGTACCTTTTACAAAACATCTCCATTTATCTCAAGTCCCTTGTCTATTCTTACCCCATTATCTTAGCAGGCAACCTTTCTTCTTAATTTTTTTTAACAAATATAGGCAACTATTTCCTAAAACTTTCATTCTGCACCCCTCAAAGTTGCTTCTTCCCCCATCTTCGCCTTGTTACTCAGTTCTGCCCCCTTCTTGGTATCTAGGTTCTAAATGAACTCCACAGCTTACTAATTCTGTGACACTGGTCAAGTTTTTTAAACCATTTTATTCCTCAGTGACTTCATCAGGTTGTTATGAGGATTAAATGAGATAATGTATGTATGTAAACTTCTGAGTATGGTGCCTGGCACATTTTAAGTATTCAAAGAAAAATCAGTATTTTTATTATTGATTCCATTTCTCCTCTAGCATCTTCCCTTCTACTTCAAAACAAACTCAGAATGGTCCTGTCCTCTAAATATGTTTTAAAAGCAACATAGCTCCACGTGTCCCATTTCCCTGGATATGCTTACTAATTCTATAGACCCTTAGCCTTTTAATTTATTCCATAAGATGTATCTGTATGACACACAATCAGAAGAGATGAATACCTCTTCTGGAAAAGAAGTTATGGTAAAATTTATTCTACTTTTATTAGGAAGAAACCAACCGAATCTGTCTATGCCATCAGGAATGTCAGTTTCATTAATGACGCCAAGACATGCAAACATGAAGAATTAAATGTAAAAGGAAGGACTTTCAACATAGTTAAAGGCTAAATAAGTTCAACTCCTTTCCCATATTCAAGGTATGACTGAATAGGTCTCATAACCTCCTATAGTTTAGTCTACAAATAGGGTATTTAAATAATATCTTCTCCCTTAATGCCTCACAGGATATCATAGAGATGACTGAGATGCTTTTGCAAGATATGAAGTCAGATATTAATTTCAAATGCTTACTTGAAATCCATTGTTTAGTTTGGCAACTTATATATTACATTGCTCTACAAATTGCCATTTTCTGAGCCTATTCAATTTCCTATGTTATCAGTGTATAGAATACCTGCACAGTGTATATTTTTTCCTAAAATATTCAGTAGCTGCTGCAAGACTAGATGTAGGTCTTAAGTGTGCTTTTCAGTGAAGCAGGGTTTCTCTAAGCATGCCTTCAAAGACAAGGCACTTCATCAAGTGTTGTGTTTTTTTTTAACACTTGACATGAATAAAGTTCTTTGTTTGGATAATATCCAAAATGGCTGCAAGAAGGGGGAGATAAGTATATTCCCTTCAGGATGTGCTATTTTTCCTGGGGCCAGGAATAATTCATAATGGTAACTGTTGCTGGTTAAAATTCAGCTCCCACCCACATACACACGAAGACACAGTGTTCTAGATTAAAAGAGATTTAAGAGACTTAACAATCAAATGCAATGCATGGTTTTGGGATGAATCCTGGTTTGAACAAAATAGCTATAAATAACATTTTGAAGACAATTGGAATAACGTGAATACAGATTAGGTTTTAGATCACATTAGAGAATTAGTGCCATTCATTAGGTGTGATAATGTAGTCATGTAGGAATATGTCTTTCTTTTTAAGAGATGCACTCAGAAATATTTAAGTGTGAAATGTCTTCATGCTGTAATTTACCTTAAAACTCTTCAGGAAGAAAAAAGATAAGCAAAATGGAAAAACAAAGTAATGGATACACGCTATCCATTTACTACTTTCTCTACCTTTATATACGTTCAAAAAATTTTTTAATTCCTATACACATCCCTATACACATATCCCACTCCACCAGGACCTCCAAACTATAAATTTCTGTAAATATAAGAAAAAGTAAAATAACTCTAAGCATTTCAGTGAGAGAAAGTCAACACTATAGGAAAGAGAGTGTCCAGGAATCATGCTAAAATATCATTTCTCTGGCCCAGAGCAGCCGTGTGACCTTGAGCAGATAACAGCCTCTCAAGGCTTTGATTTGTTCATCTGCAAAATGAGGGGAATGCTCTAAATGACTTTGAGAGTATGTTCCAACTTTAAAATCCAGAGTCTTTCCATATCAGACAAGCATCCGTTATTCAACCATTTCACTGTGCTGAGGAGTGTGAGGAACGAAGAGATCAAGTGGGTTCAAGATCTCTTTATGCCACTTCCCTGTCCTGTCTCCTTGGGCATTGTGATGGTTAATTTTGTGTGTCAACTTGACTTGGACACAGGGTGCCCAGATATTTGGTTAAACATTATTCTGGGTGTGTCTGTGAGGGTGTTTCTGAATGAGATTGACATCTGAATTAGTAGACTGAGTAAAGCAGATTGCCCTCCCCAATGTGGGTGAGCCTCATCCAACCCACTGAAGGCCTGGACAGAACAAAACAGCTGAGTAAGGGAGAATTCGCTCTCTCTGCCTGACTGTCTTCAATCTGAGACAACGGTCCTCTCCTGCCCTCGATGCCAGACTGGAAGTTACACCACTAGCTCTGCTGCTTTTCGGGCCTTCCGACTCAGATGGACCTGTACCGTTGGCTCTCCTGGGTCTCCAGCTTGCCAACTGCAGATCTTGGGACTTCTCAGCCTCTATAATCACGTAAGCCAATTCCTTCGCTGGGCCCTGGGGAATGTGAGTCTGTGTGCTAGCCCATTAAGATCCATCCTTCACTTCCCAGCCCAGAGGGTCCCTCGTGGGCCCTCCATTGTTCTTCAAAGCCAAATGTTTTGGGGGCTCATGTCTCAGAGGCTCGTCTTAAAAGTTGAGGTTCCCCAGGTGGGATACAAACCCTTCACTCCTCCAGGTTTTGGGTTCCCTCCCCACTGTGTGTGATGTGAAGGGGTCACTCCACCGCTTTTTAGGGGTCTTTTTGTTTTTTTTTCCTCAGAAGAAATTGTTCAATATATCTGTAAATTTGGTGTGTTCACGGGAGGAGGTGAGTCCAGGATCTTCCTACATTGCCATCTTGAACCAGAACCCAGCCAATTCCTTAGAATAAATCTCTTTATATCCTATTGGTTCTGTTTCTCTGGAGAACCCTAGTCAATACAATCACCTTACTGGGTTTTTCTGAGCCATTTCCTCTCCACTTGCTTGTCTATGATGAGAGGGTCATTGTAAGACTATGATAATACAAGAGGAAAGAAATCATGATGAGTGAGGCATATTCTGAACCACATACCTCCATTGGCAACATTAAACTTCACTCCAAACTCTCCCCCTGGTCCTCCAGGGCAGTGGCTGGCTGTCAGGATGATTCCACCAGCTGCCTTGATCTTTCTGATAATGCAGGAAACAGCAGGTGTCGACAAGATGCCATTCTGTCCAATAATCAGTCGTCCAATCTAGATCAGCCAGGAAAAAAAATCAATCCAGTTACATGAGACTGAAGGCATTTCAATGGGAAAGTGCCCCAGGCTCTGTTAATACACAGTAAATCACTTGGCAAGATGAACTGAGTGAGCTTTAGGTTAGGGGTCGGGGGAGGGCTCTGGGGTTGTCTCTCATGCTCAATGTCTGGAAGACCATTTGGGGGCACCCTCATCTAGCAGTCAATTATTAACCTGTAAAATTGGATCTGCCTCATTGATTTTCAGTAGTTTGAAACATCTGCTTTTGATGAGCAAAGGATTAGCTTGAACCACACAAGAAGTTCTTAGCTGGTTACTGGCTTAGAAACTCTGTACATCCACATGCTAGAAATTACAAGAAAGGGGGCTGGCCTGGTGGCGCAAGTGGTTAAATGCGTGTGCTCCGTGCGGCCCGGGCTTCGCCAGTTCGGATCCCGGGCGCACACCAACGCACTGCTCGTCAAGCCATGCTGTGGCGGCGTCCCATATAAAGTGGAGGAAAACGGGCACGCTTCTTAGCACAGGGTCAGTCTTCCTCAGGAAAAAAAGAGGAGGATTGGCAGATGTTAGCACAGGGCTGATCTCCTCACAAAAAAAAAAGAAAGAAAGAAAGAAAGAAAGAAATTACAAGAAAAAAGAAATGGAGCGCTTCTCTGCTTCACCCCCTTCCTCTGCCTCAGCACAAGCTCATGCAGGAGGGACCTGACTTCCTACAGCCTCCTCGTCAGCAGGTATATTTTAACTGCACTCAGAACAACCACTCTTCTGAAGGCAAGAATTTGATTTCTGCCACTAAGTGACAGCATGTGCTGGGGACATCAGAGAAACTATCCAGTCATGCTAGAGAGAGATCTGGAGATCATCCATGGGTGTGGCCAGACTCTTTCTACAGCTACAAAACTGACTTTAAAAAAAGAAAGCAACACAGCCCGGAGGGGCATTACTTGGTATACTTTGTTTTAAAATAGAGCCCAGTGTCATCCCATCCAGTGGTTCTCAAATGTTATTACAAATTAGAATCACTAAGGAAACCTTAAAATTCCCAGTACTCAGACTGCATCCCAGACTAACTATGTCGGAGTCTCTGGGGGTGGCATCAAGGCATTTGTAGTTTTAAAGGCTCTACAGGTGATTCCAATGTTCAGCCAAGCTTGGTGATCAAATCCCCTTGTTACTCAAAGGACCAGCAGCATGAGAATCCCCTGAGAGCATGGTAGAAACGCAGAACCTCGAGGCCCACTCAAGAGCTGCTGAAGAAGAATCAGTATTTTAACAAACACCCTCCCCTCCTTCCAGATAATTCATTTGTCCATTAAAGTTTGAGAAGTACTGATGTAGCCCACAAGCCAGAGCAAGCTCTAGCACCCCGCTCAACAGCAAACCTATCCTGGCACTAACTATGGCATTGCTAGAAATGGGTCACTGATCAAATACGACAATGAGGGAAGATACAGAAAAATTTAGAAAGAGCAAACACAGGAGCTCCAAAAACAAAGCAGTCTTGGGATGATCTAGTACAGAAAGACCCACATACCACTACCCCAGAGCACGTATTTTCAAGTGCAGGAGGCAGGTTATAAACAAATAAGCCTAATAATAATAAGAATAGTTACTAGTTGGATACATATTAGGAAGGAAATCAGCAGGATTCTGTGATAGACAATAATGGGATGTCAATATTAATAATAACGATAACAATAATAATAATAGCTAAGGGAGCTTGGATTTTATTCTCAGTGCAAGGGGAACCCAGTGAAGAGTTTTAAGCAATGGAAGTGACCTGATTATCATTTACATTTTAAAAGATCAGAGACTAAACAGTCCAAATGATCTTATTTAAAAAAAAATTTTTTTAATAAAAAGCAAGTCATATCATGTCAGCAAAACATTTCAATCACTTTCCTTGTCCCACACCAACCCAACATATAGCCAAAGTCTTCATCATAGTCTACAAGGCCCTACATGATCTGACCCCCATCGCCTGCCATTCTCCACTTCCCTCCCTCCCTCTGCTCCAGCCACACTGGCTGGTTTGCTGTTCCTCAAACACATCAAGCGCGATCAGGGCCTTTGCGTTTGCTCTTACCTCTGCTTAGAGCGCTCTTACCAGGTGTTCACAAGCCTGCATCCTCCTGTCCTCTGGGTTTCTGTTCCAATGTCAACTAATCAGACATGGCATCCTCGACAGCCCTATATAATACAGCACTCTGAAGTCCCTAATTTCCCTATTGTCCTCTATTTCCTTTACCCTGCTTTAATCTTCTGTATTAGACCTGTTACCATCTAACATTTTCCATATTGTTCATTTATTTCCCCACTATTTATAAGGTCTAGGACTTTGTTTTTTCAAGGCTATATTCCAAGAACCTAGAACAAACCTAGCGTGTAGTAAGAACACAATAAATACATGTTGAATTAATTAATTGAAAAAATTAATGAATAGACGCTCTGTGAAAAATACCTTAGAAAGTGACAAGAGCAGAAGGAGGAAGATCAGTTGGAAGGCTATCTCAGCAGAGCTGAGTGTGAAGAGTGTCTTGGACCAGGCTAGAGGCAGTAGAAATGAAGAGAAGTGATTATATATGAGATATATTTTTGGAAGGAGAATGAACAGAACATGTAGGTGGAATGAAATATGGAAGAGAAGGGCTATGGTAGCCAGTCTCCAAGATAGCCCCAACGATCCTTGCCTTCTGGCATTCTTGCCTCTGTGACATCCCCTCCCACACTGAATAAGGCAAATCTGGATGATTAGTAGAACATTGCAGAAGTGACAGTGTGTGACTTCCAAGGTGAGGCAATAAATGACATCGTTGCTTCTGCCTTGCTCTCACTCTGGGGGATACCAGCCACCATGTCATGAAATGCTCAAGGAGCCATGTGTAGGCACCTGTATGGGGAGGAACTGAGGCCTCCCACCAACAGCCAGCACCAACCTACCAACCGTGTAGATGAGCCATCTGGCAGTGGATCCTCCAACCTCAGTCAAGCCTTCATATGACAAAGCCTCCACCAATATCTGACTGTGACTAAGTCAGAACGATCCACTTCTTGTCCCACAGAAACTGTGAGCAATAATAAATATTTTTTGTTATTCAAGCCACTAAGTTTTGTCATAATTTCTTACATAGCAATAAATAACTAATACAGGGGTGGCGAGGAAATGAGTCAATACCCAGATTTCTACCTTTAATAACTTTATGGATGGTGGTGCCATTTATCAAGACAGAAAAGACATAGGACAATCATTATACTCATATTATTATCCATGATAAAGTATGAGCGATGATAAACTATGTTCCATATGCTTTTGTTAAAATTTATTTAGTCATTCAGTCATTTTATTATTACCATGAAATGGGCAATGTAGAAGACCCTGCAGATACAGCAGTGAATATAATTTAGTCAATGCCCTCAAGGAATAACACCGTAGGCTCAAGAATTTGAAAAATATTTGTAACTTTTGTTCATAATTTTCTCTCTCTCCCATTTTTCAGAATAATTCTTAAAGAAATGATCTTTAAAAGAGAAAAAGTGTGTCTCTGTAGATGTTTCCTACAGTGGTATTCATTAAAAGTGAAAAACTAAAAATAATCTTCATGAATGTCTAATAATGAAGAACCTGGTAATAAAGTGTGAGATAACAACTTATGGAATATTCTTCAACTATTTAAAAGGATAATTATGAAGATCATGGAGCTGTGGCAGACTGGGTACACAGTCCACAAGAAGTTCTGATCCCCTTCCATAGTACAGAGTTGTAACTAAGAAGCAGCTACCCCGCCAGGGGCTACACTTTCTAGACGACCCTTGCATCTAGGTGTGGCCACATGACTAGTTTCCACAATGAGTGATAAACTAGTGTGAGAACGAGAACAGAAGTAATGTGTGTTTCTTCTGGGCTAAGGATGTTCAGAAGCAGATATGCCTTCTCTACACTGCTTGTTTCCCCTTTCACAGACTCTGTACAGGTGACCATAGAGATGCCAGAGCCACAAGATGGAAGGAACCTGGGTCCCTACCTCACTGGATAGACAAGAGTCTTTGCCCACCAGCAACATCCACACTGGACTATTAAGTGAGTGAGAAATAACTTGCTATTGTTTTTAAGGCAATAAAAATTGCCTATATTTCAGGTTTATTTGCTATAAGAACTCACAGACAATGCTTTAATGCTAAATCAAAAATGCAGAGTACAAAATAACTTTTATGTGATTACAACAGTGTAAAATTATGTACACTTGGAGATAGCACTTAGAAAAATACAGAAATAAATATGTGAGGTTTATTTAAGTAGGAGAGATTATAGATAAATTTTTTGTCATTAAATTTCAATTATTTCTTTTTTGAAAAGGTAGTATATACTCTGTTTAAGGTTAAAGTGGGAAAATACACTTAAAATTTCAACCTGAAACATTTTTGTTATAATTGGAACATTAACAGAAGATTAAATTCTAGTTATCTGGAAATTTGACTTAACGTGGACCTGCTCATTTACCCACCAATACCAGAAAAATGAGGTAGTGCTAGACACTGTATATAAATCTAGTTGAGGGGTGACAAATGCTGGAGGAGATGCATGAGCCAGAGTGATGAGGCTTCTAAGGTAAGATATAAAAAATTGTGAAGATATTTGTGTCCCATGTGAATGCTCACCAAAAGGTGACCTCAGCAGTGGAGGATTTTAGTAATCAAGTGGATAGGATGACCAAATCTGTGAATACCAGTCAGCCTCTTTCCTCAGCCACTCCTGTCATTGTCCAGTGGGCTCATGAACAAAGTGGCCATGGTGGCAGGGATGGAGGTTATGCATGGGCTCAGCAATGTAGACTTCCAGTCACCGAGGCCCACCTGGCTACAGCCACTGCTGAGTGCCGAATCTGCCAGCAGCAGAGACCAACATAGAGTCCCTAATATGGCACCATTCCCAGAGTGATCAGCCAGCTACCTGGTGGCAGGTTGATTATATTGGCCCACTTCCATCATGAAAGGGG